CCAGCAGTCATCCACCCCGACAACATTCCATATATATGAAAATCATTAATAGTCCACATTAAATTAGCATGCAAATTGAAATTCTGCATGGTTGATATGTCATATGTTTCAACACCACCATACCACAATTGTTTTAGCTCATTAATCAAAGATTGCAAATATACATCAATCAAATTTTTCGAATTACGTGGACCGAGGATAATATAATTTAAGAATATATATGGACTAGTCATGCACAACTCGGGTGGTAGATTATAAGGTGTAAGAAAGACAGGCCAACATAAATATGGTGTCGCAGATACAGAAAAAGGCGTGAATCCATCCGCACACAAACCTAACCGAATGTTCCTTGGTTCACTATCAAAATCTGGATATGTCCTATCAAAGTGCTTCCAAGCTTCTTCATCTGAAGGATGACACATAACACCAGGTGGTCTTCTATTTTCAAAGTGTCATCTTATATGTGGAGTAGAACTCGTCGACATATATAACCTCTTTAACCTAGGTATAAGAGGTAAATAATGCACCGCCTTGATAGCGACCATATTCCCGCTAGAAAGCCTCTTGAAACGAGGCTTTTCGCAAAATTTACAACTGTCTAAAGTTGCATCATCTTTATAATATAACATGCAACCATCTTCACAACAATCAATTCTCATTGATGAAAGTCCTAACTTAGAAACCAATCTATTTGCTTTATAGAAATCACGAGGTAACTTGATATTAGGGTCAACTAATTCACTCATAAGTTCAATGAAAGAGTCCATGGCTACTTGAGAAATATTACAATCTGATTTTATACTTAGTAATCTAACTGCAATAGACAACTCAGAGTGCGAACTTCCTTTACGTAGTGGACGAATAGCTTCCTCTAACTGGTCGTAAAAACGTTTTGTGTCATCATTAGGAGTTTGTTCAATATTTTCATTGGGCTCACCCCCGAAATGCATCCCAAAAGCATCTGTAACCATATCATGAATTCTAGAATCACGATTTGTATTCTCCACTGACCTACTACTTTCACCAACAACCATGTTATGAAATATTGCATGGCTACCATCGATCTCTCCATGATTAGTCCACACAAAGTAATTCTCTATAAACCCCTTCCTATAAAGATGAAGCTTAAATTCCTCCGGTTTTTTAAACTTCATACAGTCGCACCTAACACATGAGCACCTAATTACTCCTTCACTTTGGTATGGTAGAAGTGATATTGCATGTCTAATAAAATCATGAACCCCTTCTATAAAATCCTCCCGCAATCCCCGCCTATTAGGATAATTCCTATTGTACATCCAAGTACGATGTTCCATCTATACAAATAAAATAAGAACAAATTAATTTAGTTAATTCATATCATAATCTTTTTTTAGTTAATTCATGTCCTAAAAGTTCCAATTCATATCCTAAAAATTAAATTCATATCCTAAAATTTCAATTTATAAACTAAAAGTCCAATTCATATCCTAAAAGTTTAATTTATATCCTAAAAGTTCAATTTATATCCTAAAATTTCAATTCATATCCGAAAATTTTAATTTATAAACTAAAAGTTCAATTCATATCCAAAAATTTCAATTCATATCCAAAAGGTCCAATTCATAAACTAAAAGTTTAACTACAAATCCTAAAAGTTCAATTCATATCTTAAAATTTCAATTTATAAACTACAAAATTCAATTCATATCCAAAAGGTCCAATTCATAAACTAAATGTTCAACTACAAATCCTAAAAGTTCAATTCATATCCTAAAATTTCAATTTATAAACTAAAAGTCCAATTCATATCCTAAAAGTTCAATTCATATCCAAAAGGTCCAATTCATAAACTAAAAGTTCAACTACAAATCCTAAACCTAAGATTCTAACTAAACTATTCAAGACTATACAAAGTATAATTCCAATCTTACTAAACTACTCAAGACTAATTAAACTAATTAGTTAATAAAATTAATAAACAAAACTAATTAAAACAAGACCTAAACCCTATTCCTCAATAAAATACAATGTTCAAAGAATTGAAACACTAATTGAAACAATAAAATACAATGTTCAAATAATTGAAACAAAAACTAGAAATAACAATGAAATGGGTTGTAATTCAAACCTAAAATTTTTAGGTGGAGAAGGAGAGGGGAGGCAGTCCTAAAAGCAGTGGCAGCGACAGCTCCGGCGACGGTGACGGCAACGGCTACGGGCGGTGGCTACACGGGGTGGGGAATGGGATTTGTGTGAGGTAAATAGAGAAGGGGAGGGAAAGGTATTGAGGGAGGAGTTAGGAAAATTTTGGGGAAGAAAATAAGAGAAATGGGGGGAAACCCGTATATCATTCTGAATTTCAGAATTACCGACCAACGTTGGTCGGTAATTTGGTCGGTACATTAAGTGTTGACCGTTTGACCAAATACCGACCAACTTTGGTCGATTTTTTTTAAAAAAAAAAAACTTAATTAATTTTTTATTTTATTTTCAACATATTATAAGCTATAACAAATTATTATAAACTATAAAAAATTATTATTATTTGGTAAATAAGAATTTTATTACCAAGTAACAATATTTACAACTCATCTAACTATTACAAAATTTGTCTAGCATATTACCAACTGGACATGAAGCCCCAGTAAGATGATATCTAGCCTTCACTTCTCCTAACCTCCATCAACTTCCATTGTTATTCTGTTCTAGCTAATTTCCGGATACCAGTTCAAAGTAGTTATCACCCTATCGATAAGGGAATCTTGCTGCCCTTATGTGCACTTCCTAGATAATAAGCTTTATTAACGAAGTGGTTGTCCCTTTCTTCTTCTGAAAAATCACAAAATTCCTCTCCTGCCAGCAGTGATACACTGCAGCTGCTAGTGTCATTCTGCATATAGCTGCTCTTGCACTCTTACCTTTAGTCATCTTCACCATCCATGTAATCTCGTCTTGCCAATTGTTGTGTGATCTTTGAATCCCTTTCCATCTCAGCAAACTATTCCATATCTTCCCTGTAATCTCACACTTGAAAAATATATGTTGCATTATCTCATTTTCCTTATTACACAGAGAGCATGTTTGATCTATATCTAAACCTCATCGTACCAGCCTGTCTTTGGTAGCTAACCTCTGCTATATTGCTAGCCTCAATATGAATATCCATTTTGGCTGCCCTTGGTTATTGCACACTAGCTTCCTCCATTTTACTTTTTGAAATACACCTTGTAGTGATCTGTAAAGTCCCCTGATTGAGCATTTCTCCATTAGTTGGACATCATTTTCAATCATACCAGCCTTAGTGAAATACTCCTTAGCCTGAAATATCTTCTAAATTGTCCAGGAAGCATTCTTTGGTTCTATATTCCACATTGCTTGGCCTTTGACATAGTAAGTATGTACCCAATGCACCCATAGCTTCTCCTTTATAGTACATATATTCCATAGCAACTTACAAATAGCAGCTTCATTCCATAAAGTCACATCTATGAAATTCAATCCCCCTACAACCTTAGGTGAGCAAAGTCTTTCCCAAGCTATCAAGGCCTTCTTTGTTGGTTCAGCATCTCCTGTTCACAGAAACCTTCTACAGATGGTCTCTATGAATTGTATAACCTTCTTAGGTAGTATAAAGATCTGTGCCCAGAATGTTTGGATGGCAAACAACACACTCTTTACTAGAACTGCTCTACCTGCATATGATAAGTACTTTGTTGTCCAGTTCTGAATTCTGTGCAACATTTTCTCAATTAGTGGCGCACATTGTATAGTAGATAGTCTCTTATTACTCAATGGAACCCCTAAATATCTGAAAGGCAATTCTTCTTTTTTATAACCAAGAGTCTCCATAATTTGTTGCTGAGTCAACTGATTCACCCCTCCAAAATAGATGCAACTCTTGTTTGGATTAGCAACCAGTCCTGATGCTGCAGAGAATTTCTAAAAATGCTGGTGCAGTATCTGCACAGATTGCACATCACATCTACAAAATAATAGTAAATCATCTGCAAACCCCAGTTGCACTAGGTTAAACCTGGCACATCTGGGATGATATTTAAACTTCTTGTCATCCTTTAGAGTCTTCAATGACCTGCTCAGGTATTCCATAGCCAAAACAAATAAGAAGGGTGAGAGTGGATCCCCCTACCTGAGTCCCTTTTTTGCCTCAAAAAGATCTGTTGGTCTGCCATTTATTAGAACTGAGTAGGTTATTATACTGATGCAAGCCATTAACCATCTCACAAAGAATTTTGGAAAATTCAGTGACTTTAACACTTGTTCTATGTACCTCCACTCCACAGATCATATGTTTTTTGCATGTCAATCTTAAGCATACATCTAGGGGAGATACTCTTCCTTCCATAACCTTTTACTAGCTCATGACTCATCAGAATGTTATCTGTGATCAGCCTTCCTGGTACAAAATCAGCTTGATAATTATCCACCAGTCTATCCATTACCCCTTGCATTCTTGTGGTTATCACTTTAGAGATGAGCTTGTTTAAAATTGTATTTCATGAACTAGGTCTGAAGTCTCTTATGTTTGTTAGATTCTGGATCTTTGGAATCAGTATGATTGTTGTGCAATTAATGGCTTTACACATATTAGCACTCTCAAAGAAATCTTGAACTACTGCAGTTATTTCCTCTCCTACAATGTGCCATATCTTTTTAAAGAAGTAGGAGTTATATTCATCACACCCTGGTGCCTTGTTGTCATCAATGCCCAATAAAGCTTGCTTCACTTCTTCCCTGCCAACTGGTCTGATTAACTGTAGTTGTTGACTCATGTTTAGCATATTGCCATTCTTCTTTATGTCATAGTTGATCATTGGTAGCATTGTAGCTGAACTACCAAGTAATCCCCTATAAAAATTTAGAATTTATGCCTTCACCTCTTCAGGACTTTGCATTATATCCCCATTACTGTCAGTTAACCTGCTAATATTGTTCCTTGCTTGTCTATTCTTCATACAAGCATGATAATAAGTTGTATTAGAATCTCCCAAATTAAGCCACTATATTATGGACTTCTGTTTCATAATACTCTCCTCCACCATTAACCATTTCTCCAGCTCCAATTTACTAGTTCTTTCCAATTCAATCTGCATTTCTCTTTGGCCAGGACATCTCATTTGGTTCTGTATACTTTCTAATCTTTCTCTAGCATCCTGTATTTTACTATCAATGCCACTGAACTCCTCTTTATTCATCTGCTTCAGTAACCCTTTTAACTTCTTAAGTTTGTTCCAAACTATCAACATTGTTTGTCTGTTCTTTCCACTCTCCCAACCCCTCTGCACTATACCTTCAAAGGTCTTCAAGTTTACCAGGCAGTTCAAGAACTTGAAAGGTTTCCCTCCAACTTGGCTACTTGTATCAAACTTCACACGAAGAGGGCAATGATCAGAGAATCCAGGATTCATAGACATCCCCTCCATGTTGGGCCACTTTTGTATCCATTCAGCATTTACCAGAATTCTATCTATTCTATTATGCACATGGTTATTAGTCCATGTGTATTTTCTTCCCACTGTCTTTAACTCATCTGTTTTGGCATCCACTAAGAATTGTTTAAACTCCCTTGTCTCCATCTCCTGTACAGGGTTTGGTTTCCATTGAATCTATCCTCACTAGTTAGAATTGTATTGAAGTCCCATATTATAAGGCAAGGACTCCTTATATTGACCACTGATATTAGCATCTCCTCCCATAGACACTTCATGTCATGTATTGTATGTTTACCATAGACAGCACATAGGTGAAACTGAATATTATGTTGTAGTAATGTTACTTCCCCCAAAATAAATTGTTCATGATGTCTAATAATTGCATAATCCACCAATATAGAATCCCATGCAACCCATATTCTGCCCCCAGGAGCCTCATCATAGTTATTCACCCATTTCCAGTTCTTTAGAGATTTCCTTAACACAGAGTCAGCATTACTTTGCTTCACACTATGCTCAATTATTGCTATCAAAACTACATTATTAATTTTGCAAAAAAAAATTAGTTCTTTTTGTTTGTACACCTTATTCAGACCCCTTACATTCCATGCAATAAAGTTCATCATGATATAATAGGTAAAGTTGGAGGTCCACCCCTGTCTTCCTTGTTATGCATTCCCTTTACACCTTGAGCTTCTGACATTTGAACAATTTTTTGAGCAGTATCAACCAGAGCTTTGAATGCATTGCCAATATCCACTTCCCTCTCCCTTATCACATCTGTGTGCTTCTTAGTTGCAGATCTACCTGTAACTACTTGCCATTGTTCCTCAACCTCTGAGTTACTCTTTTGTATAGCTACTTCTTCCTCCAGTTGTTCAGTAAATCTCCCTGTGCATCAATTTTGTCAACCTTAGGATCAAGCGCTCTAACTTTCCTCCATTCCTGCATTTGCTTCCCTTCCACATTTTTCCTCACTTCATTATGTCTCAGCTTCCTTTGATCCTTGCATGTATGGCCAAGTTGGCAACATTTCTGGCAAGGTTGGTTTCTAGTCATAGTGCACAATTTGTTCCAGCACCTTTCCTTTTGGATCATAGAGTTTTATCTTCTCTGGTAAAAACCTAGTGACATCCATCTCTATTAAATCCTTGCATATGAGATTCTCTCAATAATAGTCGTACAAGCATCAGCATATATTGGTTTCCCCAATCCACTTCCTGTCTTACTTAACGCTTGATTACTCCAAAGGTTAAGTGGAAGATTTGGAAGCTTGATCCACAGGGGAATAGTTCTCAGAACTTCCTCATTAAAATCAAAATTCTCCGACCATTGCCTCATAATAACTAGCCTATTGTTAATTGTATAGGGGCCATTCATTAGCACCCTCTCCTTCTCTTGATTAGTACTAAGCAGGACTATGAAATATCCCTCATTATGAAATAACACCTTTGGTTTCTGCACACTTGCCCATTGATTATTGATAAACCTTTCAATGGCACCTATTGAAGGTGTATTCCCCACCACATACAATATTACTGCTCTATTCCATTTTTCATTTTCCTCAACAATGTCTTCCTCCATCAGTTGTACAACTACTTCACCATCCTTCATTGACGGTGGTATATAGTTGAGATTCATACCTTTTGCAGCTAACTTGTTCTCTTGTAGTAATCCCGCCCATGATTGACCCTTATCAACAGTTGAAATTGAGTTCTTCCCTTGAGCTTCCTTTTGATTATCCATAGAAATAGCCCTCTGTTCCTTGCTTGAGCTTGCATGTACTGTTCCATTGGATTTTACCTCACTCAAGCTGGTTTTCTCATTTGCAACCCTAATTTCGCTATTTCCTTTGCTCATGTTCACCGTCAGTGCCAATTTCCTGCTCGAATTCACTGGAGTTGTCGCTTGATTTCGATACTTGTCCAGATCTGGCCAGTTGTCGTCACTGTCATTTTCTTGTTCTGCCCCCTCCTCCTGGATTTGATCCATAGCTTTGGACTTTCCTTTTCCTTGTTCACTCTATCTAGTCGTCATAACCTTCTGCTCTAGTGCTGGTACTTTGGTAGTATTCCTCCTCGGTCGTCCTCTTCCTCCCATTTCCGGTGAGGCCGCAGGTTAGTCAGTCACCTAACGTGCGCCGAGAGAGAATTTTGTTGTTACTTATTGTTAAAAAAACAAAAAGTTTTTTCCTATAAAAAATTATTATTAACTATATATTTATTTTATTTAACTACAATTATTATAAATAATTATAAACTATAAGCATAATCTTTACAAAAAAATTATATTAACTAGATATTTACTTTTAATAGATTATAATAGCATCTATGTAAGTAATACATTTTTAAGTTATATTTAAGTATATGAGTAATTTCACACACACATATAAACTATATTGTAATTGATGATCAATCTTATACATTACTACGTACGTACAAATAATTAATCAATTGATAAACCAATATAATATTATTCTATTTTAGGTCGAGACGTTTTGTTTTTTATATTAATCGATATAGGTCAAAACGTTTTATTTTTAATATTCATCGTTGCATCTAAATAAGATATAAGTCGATGAATAAATTTATAAGTTTATCAATCCCTAAAAGAACCCCACCCTGTGTTCCTAGCGCTTCATGTTCTTATATATATACGACTATCAAAGTGTATATATATATATATATACACACACACACATACATACACACACACAAAGCCACTTCATTGTAATACTTTAACTATATATATAACTTATTATAGTATATCTTATTCTGTGTGTGTGTGTGTATATATATATATAACATACATACTTCGTTATGCTACTTTAATTACATATATAGCATGTTATAGTATATGTTACTGTATTCATTATTTATATTATAACAGAGTTAATGGATTACATTCATTCATCACTAAAATGCATGACATAGATTAATCGATATAGGTCGAGACGTTTTATTTTTACATTATACCGGATATATTAATCGTTCAAAGGGGCTGTATGTTTTCAGGATGAGCGGTTAGAATTACCATCACATAGGCTACCAGAAATTGGGAAGAAGCCACAATTTGCTCAGCTTTATATATATGATACTGAAAATGAGATAAGTAACAGAATGAGTTGGCTGTCGCAAGAAGATATTGATCCCAAGGTTGTTCATGACGTATCTGTCACGACCCCAAACCTGGACCCGACCGTGATGGTGCCTCTCGTGAAGACAAGACGAGCCAACACATTCTCATTTCAATTTTAAGCAATTTAATATAATAAATATTAAGACTTAAGCATCCGACCCCCAGGTCAACGTCTCGGAATTCGATAAAATTCACATCAATAGATTCCCCATCTCCCCACGAGTTCATACATATCAAAAGTACCAAAATTCGACCACATATGGTTTCTCAAATCCTCAAGTCTAGGTCTCCAATACCAAGCCCTACTTTTCCCCAATTTTAACCCTTAACTCCATAAATTATAGCTCTAATCCGAGAAATAATACCATAGGAACGAGTTTTAGGTCCAAAATCCTTACCTCAATGAAGTTCCCTTGAAACCCTTCTTCAAAATCGTCCAAAAAGCTCCAAAGCCGACTTAGAAATGGTGGAATAGCTCAAAAATCGTGAATGAAACAATTTATACCTTCTGGCCTAGGGATTTCGCATCTGCGGCCAAAATCCCGCTTCTACAGTACCGCATTTACGGTCCTTGAACCGCTCCTGCGGTTTTCACTTAAGTCTCAACTTTTTGCATCTGCGATGCTTAGTCCGCACCTGCGCCATCGCAGGTGCGGTTCTCCAACCGCTTCTGCAGTCACAGCCTTCCCAGTCACATTCCGCTTTTGCGGCCTTCTTCCTCTCAACTACGGCATCGCACCTGCGGTCCCCAATCCGCAGGTGCGGAAACAACAGAAGCAGAAAATCTGCAGGTTCACTAAAACTCCAAACTCTCCGTCAACCATCTGAAATCACCCCGAGGCCCCCGGGACCTCAACCAGAAACACAAACATACCCATAACCTTATTCAAACTTATACCAACCTTCAAAACACCTCAAACAACATCGAATCACCCAAAACACATCGGATTCAAGCCTAAGTTTCCAAAATCTTCCGAATTCCGCTTTTGATCAAAAACCCAACCACACCACGTCTGAATGACGTAAAATTTTGCACACACATCCCAAATGATACAACGGAACTACTGCAACTCTCGGAATTTCATTCCGTCCCCTATATCAAAATCTCACATATCAACCGAAAATCGCTGAAATTCCAATTTCGTTAATTCAAGCTTAAATCTACTCCGAACCTCCAAAACACATTTCGATCACGCTCCTAAGTCCCAAATCACCTCCCGAAGCTATCCGAACCATCGTAACTCACATCCGAGCCCTCTAACATATAAGTCAACATCCGGTTGACTTTCCAACTTAAGCTTTCTCAAAAGAGACCAAGTATCTCAAACCTTACCAAATCATTTCCGAACTCGAGCCAACCAACCCGATCACATATAGAACCGATAGACAAATCAATAAGAAGCATAAATGGAGAAAACTGAGCGGTAGCTAATGAGACGACTGGTCGGATCGTCACATTATCTCAAATACTAGACGAGCATAACATTTTGGTAAAATCATTTAGGATGGTAAAGTAATTTTGTTGGAAAGTAAAGATAATAGAGCAAGTGAATGAAAAGAGGGTGAGGGTAGAACAGAAAAAATTGTGGTGTGGGCCTTTTTGTAGCTTGGACTCTTGTATAAGATATCTTTCATTTTTGACACATACAAATCCATTGTTAATTACAGGTGATTTAGAGCCTTATCACCTTTGATTATTTTAATTATAAAATTAAAGATTGCCCGCTTGGACTCTTGTATAGGAAATCTTTTCATTTTTCACACATACAAATCCATTGAAAATTACAGGTGATTTAGAGCCTTATCACCTTTGATTATTTTAATTATTATAAAATTAAAGATTGCCCAAAAGAAACAAAAGAAAGTCTACATTGCTTTCTGCACCTGTCGCCTTGATTGTATGCATTAGGTCCCCCACCTGCACTTACCTTTAACAGAAACACATGCAAACTTGTACGTTAAGGCTACTCTTGTAATTCAATCTTATGACATTTTAAAATTTTCTA